GCGCAGTCAGGGCTCCGCGCCGGCGCGGCCTCCGGAGCCGAGCGGGCGCCAGTGCGGCGTGACGGGGAAGTGCTTTTCCCTTCGGCGGCGGAGAAAAGGAGGCCGCAGAGGGCCAGGTGTGGAGGCGGCTTCCGCGCGCCGCCCTCAGCATGCAGCGGTTGCTCTGGCCTCCCTTGAAGGCCTGGGCGCGGAGCCCGAGTCTCCGGCTCCTGGTGCCCAGGGCGGCGCCTAGGGCACAGGTACCGCGCGGCACCCGACTGCGGTTCGCGGCCGTGGGAGGCGGGAAGGAGGAGTGGATCGTCCCCTCCCGCGCCCGCAGCCCCTTACAGCTGACGAGGACTTTCTGTATTCCCATCCCGCGGTTTCAATCCGGCCTTATCGCTTTCCAGCTGTGTGATAACGTCCGCGTTCCTTGTCTGGGCCTCACATTTCCTCTCTGTAAAGTGGGGGTGACAGGACCGACTTCGTAAGGTCCTGGCGACGATTAAAAGGTTGCAATCAACCAGCGCTTAGTATAAAAAGAGAGCACGACCTTTGTTACCTGTATATTTGAATTTTGCTTAAAAAAAAAAAAAAAAGGCCTCCAGATACTCAGGGTCCGAACGGAAACCTCCATTCCACTGAGAAAGAAATGGACACATGTCACTGACGGGTCAGGTTACGAAATCACTTTAGAAGCAGAGGAAGAATGGGAACACTGGTCTTTGGACTTAGACGTGTATATTCATTAAATTCATACTTACTGAGTGGTTATTACAGATTAGGAATGAGAATTAAAAAGGACAAGGTTCCTGCCCTGGAGAAGATCAGAATGCATTCACTTATTAAATTCATTGGCCAATTCTTTACTAAGGCCTTGCGAGGCGAGGACATTAACCAAACGAAGGCAGCAGGAGGGAAGGGCCAGACCATCTTGGGCCTCTGAGCTTGGTAGGAAATACAAGAACAGGCGGAACCCGAAGGTTCTGGGGAGGCTTCAGAAAGTTTGTAAGTTCTGTTATCCTTCCGCTGCATCTAGTCCTAGCACTGTATTAGGAGCTGTGATGGGGAGGGTACAGGTGCATTGGGAGGGTAGCTGAGAGCACCGGTGCAGACCTGGGAAGGACTGGGAACACTTGCCAGGGCAGGTGACACTTAGGCTGAGATCTCTGGTCGGAATTCTCAGTCAAGGGACCAGGAGTGTTCCAGTCAAACATCGTATTTAAAAATCTAGAGAAGAAAGAAAACAACCCTGATTTCGTGTGTGAAGTTAAGTCCGAGCTAAGGATGCAGAGATTCCGTGTCCTCCTTAGTGTGGGGAATGGATTGCAGAGAACAGAAACAGACCCAGGGAAACCAGTTGGGTGGTGGATGCAGGGATCTACAGAAGTTTACCAGAGAAATCATGTAGAGGATGTGCGATGGGCAGGTGCATATGAACAGAGTGCGGCCTTTCCCCTGCTGCTGTAATTTGTCTGTCTTGATTCTCAGTGTGGTTGCAGCTGTGGATCCAGGCGCCCTTTGAGGCCAGGACAATACAGCACCATCTCAGAAGTAGCCTTGCAGTCTGGAAGGGGCACAGTGCCCCTTCCCTCAAAGGCTGCTGAGCGAGTCGTGGGCCGATGGCTCTTGATCTGCAGCGGAACAGTGGCCGGAGCAGTCATTCTTGGTGGAATAACTAGGTGAGTAACCGCCAAGGAGCCATTTGGTCATGAGTAGAATCACGGGATGCTTAAGGGCGATCGTCTAGCCTTGCACACATGTTTTATAGATGGAGAAACTTGAGTTCCCAAAAGGAACATGTTCTTTTTTTTAAATCGTTTTATTAGGGGCTCATACAACTGTTATCACAGTCCATACGTACAGTTGTGTAAAGCACATTTGTATATTCGTTGCCTTCATCATTCTCAGAACATTTGCCCTCTACGTAAGCCCCTGGCATCAGCTCCTCATTTTCCCCCCTCCCTTCCTACTCCCCCCTCCCTCATGAACCCTTGATATTTTATAAATTATTATTTTGTCATATCTTACGCTGTCCGACGTCTCCCTTCACCCACTTTTCTGTTTGTGCATCCCCCAGGGAGGAGGTCACATGTAGATCCCTGTAATTGGGTCCCCCTTTCCACTCCACCCTCCCGGTATCACCACTCTCACCACTGGTCCTGAAGGAATCATCCGCCCTGGATTCCTTGTGTTTCCAGTTCCTACCTCTACCAGTGTACATGCTCTGGTCTAGCCAGATTTGTAAGATAGAATTGGGATCATGATAGTGGGGTGGGTGGGAGGAAGCATTTAGGAACTAGAGGAAAGTTATATGTTTCATCGTTGCTACACTGCACCCTGACTGGCTCGTCTCCTCCCTGTGGCCCTTCTATAAGGGAATGTCCAGTTGTCTATAGATGGGCTTTGAGTCCCCACTCAGCACTCTCCTTCATTCACAGTGATAAGATTTTTTTGTTCTTTGATGCCTGATAACTGATCCCTTCAACACCTCGTGATCACACAGGCTGGTTTGCTTCTTCCATGTGGACTTTGTTGTTTCCAAGATAGATGGCCGCTTGTTTACCTTCAAGCCTTTAAGAACCTAGATGCTCTATCTTTTGATAGCTGGGCTCCATCAGCTTTCTTCACCACATTTGCGTATTCACCCACTTTGTCTTCAGCGTTTGTGTCTGGAAGGTGAGCATCATGGAATGCCAGTTTAATAGAACCAAGTATTCTTGCATTGAGGGAGTACTTGAGTCGAGGCCCAATGTCCATCTGCTACCTTAATAATAAACCTATACATATATGCACATAGATCTATTTCCCCGTCCTCATATGTAAATATATTTAATCTGTACATGCCTTGATTTAGACCTCTATAAATGCCCTTTGCCTCCTAGCTCTTTTCTCTATTTCCTTTTACTTTCCTCTTGTCCCACCATTGTGCTCAGCCTTCATTTGGGTTTCAGTAATTCCTCTCAGTTACATTACCCTTGGTCACGCTGTACCAGGTCTCCTATACCCTCTTCACGACAGATTTGGATAACTTGCTCCCTTGTCCCTGGGTTTGTTAACACCACTTCCTTTTCCCCACCTCCCCCTCTCCCAAAGGAACATGTTCTTGATGGTTTGCCTTGCCACAGAACAGTTTAGAGTTGGTTCAATTTCCCCGCTTCCTCTTCTTTTTTTAATGCTTGTTTGAATTAAACCCAAGTATAAATTTTACTCATCACGATCATTTCATGTATCATTTCATAGATCGTAAATCATGGTCCCCTCCTGCTCTCCTGTCACCCTCACCCTCCCCCGTCCTTTCTCTGTAGTTTGTTATTGTAGAACTCCAAGTCATTTGTCCTAGCGAGTGGTCCACATCTGGATTTTGTTGATTGCAACCCATGGTGGTGTGGAACATGTCCCATTTACTCTAGTCCTTGTTAATTAGGAGTTGCTAGATCAAATTCCTCGCGGGGGTGGGGTCAAAATACTTCTGAGGTGATGTCCTGTAGAACCGTCATCATGTCTGATGTCTATCAGAGTTAGCAGCAGCCACAGGTGAAAATTCCTTAGAATCCGTCGTTTCATTGTGTTCTTGTTCCTTGCTGTCGGGTCGGCTCCACGTACCACAGGACAGGATGGTGCAGTCCTGCCCTATCTTCCGACACGCGGGCATGCCGAGCCCATGGATGCACTGGCTGAGTGCTTGAAATGCCTCCAGCCTCTGGGCTCGTCTCCAGCAAGGCAGCAGGCAGTGTTCAGTTGTGATCCGGGATGTTTCTTGGACTCGTTTTGGGAAGTATATCCCCAAGCTCTCTTCTTGGCCTGTCTCAGTGTGGAAGCTCCACTGAACCTGTCCACCAGGCACAAGCCTGCGCCAGCTTATTTCAAGTACCAGTCGCCTTGCTTCGGGTATCATCGCTGCCTACAAGCTACCACCGTAAAACGAACTAACAGAGGAGTGGGGATTATTTCACTAGAGTTGCACGTTGTAATTTAATATTTACTTTTTTATTGGTTTGGTGTTAAAGAGCAAGTCTCCGCATATCAACCATTTGGTACAACTTAGATTATTTCCCAGTTTTCAAAATAATAAGCCCCTCCAATCTGAGCCCTCCCCAAGTGACCGATAAGGTGTTTGTGTTTTCAGAGATCATTACACACCTTCCATGTGGAGAGCACATTCATTCTTGGCCCGTGCACCTCATGTGCGTCATTGCCCCTGGAGACTTGACTGGTGCTATGCTGTTGAACCAGAGTCAGCAAAGCTTCCAGGATGACATGAACTCAGAGTAAAGACCTGGTCTTCGACTTCTGAAAATCAGCCCTTGAAAATCCTGTGGGTCATATGCCACTATGCGAAGAGTGGCCGGGAGTTAGGCCACAAGCTAACAAGCAGGGGCTCATGGGCTTAACTGTTGGGTCGGTTTTACTCCATTGCGGTGACGGTGATCTCCTCCGAGGGTTTCAGTTTTGTCAGGACGAGCCCTCTGAGGTTGCCTCCGGGCCTTGTTGACGGGACCCCAGTCACCTTTGACAGCTCCTTTGCTGTCCGGTCTCATGAGTTGGTCCAGGTTCATCTTACACGTTTCCTACCCCAGCCTAAAATCAGCCTTTTCTTTTAGAAGCCCAAACTCTCTTTGGTGAAAACACTTTTGGTCCTAACAAAGCACTTATTCCTCAAATCTCCACCACAGGCTTTGCACTCCTTACTTCTTTAGGATATTTCAAAATATCTTTTTATAGGTTTTGTAGGCTGTTCTGGGGAAATGAAACAAATGGGAGTTTTCTATCTATAACATCTCTTCCTTGTGCAGGGATGCTGGCTCTGCATGTAGGAAGCATTCCTTCCGTCTAAGGGTGGATTTTTGCCCGTCAGAATGCTCGAGAAAGAAGTGGGGAGAACGTGAGAAAGGATGCAGAAACTACTGGGGCAAAGAAATGTGGGCTTGAGGGTGGCTGTTTTTGACAAAATTCTAAGCAATAAGAAGAGAGCAGATTTGGGGAGCTGATATCAAGGAGTTCAAGAAGAAAGAAAATGTTTTGAAGCTTATTCTGGTAGTAACTGTACAATACTGCTTGATGTTATTGAACTATGGGGTGTTATATCTGTAAGAGCTCCCAATAAAATGATAAAAATTAAAAAAGAGAGAGCAAAGAGTCACAAGAGCAAAGGATGGCATGATCTATTTACCTTCGGAGGGTTCTGTTCAAATCCACGTAGCACTGTTAACACTATTTGTGAATAAACCAGCATATTGGGTGCACGCTTAACATTTCTTTTCCGTCCTCAGGTTGACGGAGTCTGGCCTCTCGATGGTAGACTGGCATCTAATAAAGGAGATGAAGCCTCCTGCCAGCCCAGAGGAATGGGAAGCAGAATTCCAAAAATACCAGCAATTTCCAGAATTTAAAATGTAAGTCCAGTCTTTGCGAAAATCAAGTTGACCATCCCATCAGACCACCCAGTCTTTTTCAACTTAAATATACCAGATGGGTGGTGGTGCCTAGGTGCCGGCAAGTTGGTTTCAACTCCCAGCTAACCTGTTTACAACCGACCCAGGCACTGCCCAGTCCTGCACCCTCCTCACCCTGGCTCTGTTCTAGCTGTTCCACGGCCCTAGCCACCGTGTCAGCCCATCTCATTGAGGGTCTTCCACTGTTTCTCTGCCCTTCTCTACTTGCCGCGCCCTTTCTATGGTCAGATGCCTTTATGCCTGGATAGCTGCTAAATACTTTTTAGTGAGGTCCTCCCTCTAAACCCCAATTGCAAAGTGGTCCTAATGCCCTGAGGAGGAACAAAACACATGACCAAGAGTATTTGTGCATCACATCGGGAAACAAACATTAAATTGATGTTGGCTCTTCTCTTGTGACCGCCCTCTTCACCCAGATTGAATCATGATATGACGTTGGCAGAATTCAAGTTCATCTGGTACATGGAGTACTCCCACCGAATGTGGGGGCGCCTGGTCGGCCTCACGTACATCCTGCCTGCTGCCTACTTTTGGAGAAAGGGCTGGCTCAGCCATGGTATGAAAGGACGTGTTCTTGCTCTCTGCGGCTTAGTCTGTTTCCAGGTGAGAATTACCCAAGTTTGGGAATGCAGGGATACTCCTGGAGTTTTGGCGTTCACCTTATTTTTAAGGAATTAGTGACAGCATAACAGAGTAAGGTAGAACATGACTTTTAGTGTCCCTGCAGGTCAAGTTGCCTAACGTCTGTAAGCTGTAGTTCTCTTTCCTGTAAATAGGGGTCGCCGTTGAGTCAGCTTCAACTCTTAACAACCCAACTCAGAACAAAACCCGCCAGTCCTGTGCCATCCGCACAGTTGATATCCCTTAGTGCCTACCATTTAGGGGATGTGACTAATGGATGAGATGTGTGTAAAGTGCTCAGTGCCTAGAGCAGTGGTTTTCAACCTTCCCAATGCCACGACCCTTTAATACAGTTCCTCATGTTGTGGTGACCCCCCCAAGCATAAAACTATTTTCTTTTTAAAATCATTTTATTAGGAGCTGTACAACTCTTATCACAATCCATACATACATCCATTGTGTCAAGCACATTTGTACATTTGTTACTATCATCATTTGCAAAACATCTTCTTTCTACTTGAGCCCTTGATATCAGCTCCTCATCATAAAATTATGTTCATTGCTACTTTATAACTGTAGTTTTGCTACTGGCATGAATTGGGCGACCCCTGTGAAAGGGTCATTTGACACCCCCCCCAGGGGTCGTGACCCACAGATTGAGAACCACTGGCCTAGAGCCTAGCTAGTCAGCACTCAGCTGATATCTATCCCTGGGCCTCAAGAATTGGATAGCCTCTCCCATCACACTGCCCTGCGGGGCTCTCATGGCCTCCTGTTTTCTACCTGCCTGCCGTGTGGGGAGGTGCGTCCCGATGCTAGAACGACTCCACAAGCAAAGAGGAAACTTCCCAAAGAAAAGACGCAGCCTGGGACCTTGGCGGGCCATCGGGCATGGGTTGGAATTGGAATTGGAATCTGCCTTCCCACCTGATTGCATCTTACATTATGTGGTTAGTAACCGCTCTGATGCCACCCAGGAAAAAAACGCAGCAGTGCTGGAAATCCCTGCTGCTGTTCCACCAACAGCCACTGGAGGGCCCCAAACATAACTATGGATCGCCAGAGCTTCCTATCAGTCATACTAGTCAGGTGCCCAGCAAACCCACTGACCACAACACCATCACTTCCTGGGTACTGCCTTTGGTGCGACAACAGCAAGTGGTTTTCATGTTCACCGGAAACATCATCGCCGAGAGCAGACAAGACACTCAAGGTGAAAATCGCCACCTCCAAGTTTCCACACCTAACCTGTGAGAGTTGGACTCCACAGTCTTCCAGGTCTGAGACATTGGCAGGGGGGTCCCTTTCATCAGGGAGTGTCCCAATCAACCAGAGCATGATATTCCCACAGGGCCTCTCGTTCCAACCCTCAGTCCCCAAAGCTGTGAGGATCTGTTGGTACGGGCATCTCAAAGCCCAGGGCACGCGTTCATTCCAAAAGATTCACACCCAGAGCCATTGCCTGCAAAGAAAGAGCCATTCCCTCTGTTCAGAGGGAAAGGGGCCAGCCAGGCTACTCCCTTCATACTGTCCTCCCAGCACCCAGCACCAGGCTTGTTCTGGTCAGAGGCCCTCCTGAGGACAAGTGTGGGGGAAGTCACCTGGAGGAGACGGCGACATCTGTGCCTTGCCTCCGGAAGAGAGGGAAGCTGAGCAAAAGCGGGTTCCTTGTGGAAAACTGACACCCCAAAAGAAACGAGAAATGGACCACTGGGCTCCTAGGTGGCCAAAGTCACTTCTGGCTCACAAAATCCATGCGTAGAATAAGCTGGAGTTTACACCAACAAGTAAAAGGCATTGGAACTAGAGCCCTGGGGTCATAAGAGAATTTGGTTTCCTGATTGGCCTTTTAAAATATGGCATCAGCTATTGAGCTGAGTGTTACAAACAGTTCTTTGTATTTTTCTTGTATCGACTTAAGTTGTTTTTTTAATTTCTTGTAATCATAAAATGTATGTAAATAAATGGTTAATAGGGAAGAAAAATCACATAACTGGAACAACTCAGGGAAAAGAGCTTTGAAAGTCCGAGGGCCAAGAAAAGGAATCTGAGAAGAGACACAGGTATGTGGCGCATGGTGGCAAGGTTCCAGAGCGAGGCTGCAGCCTCAGAATCCACCCTGTGGCCAGGGGGAGCCAGTGAGTTCATGTCATTCAAAGAATCGACCCAATTAGAAAGGATTAAGAAGGTTGAGAGAGGAAAAGAAATGGAAGCAACAGAAACAACTAGGAGTTAAGACATTAACACAAGCCTAAGGCTGCTAACGAAAGGTCGCCAGTTTGAACCCAGCAGCCGCCAGGTGGGAGGTAGATGGGGTCGTCTGTGTCCATTAAGATTTGTGGCTCTGAAAACCCCATGGAGCATCCATGCTCTCCCCTGCAGAGTCGCGATGAGTCGGAACCAGCAGCACGTTCAGTTGGGGTTCTTAATAACTCCAGGACCTCCTAGGTGGCACACTGTTAAAGTGCTCAGACACTAAACAAAAGGTTGGCAGTGTGAACCCATTCAGAATCACCTTGCAAGAAAGGCCTGGTATTCTGCTTCCTAAAGGCTACAACCCTGAAAACCCTACAGTGCCAATTGACTCTGAAACGCATGGGGTCATTGTGAATTGAAATCAACTTGAAGACCACTGGTTGGTAGGACTAGAGGAGGGTAGGTGGAACAAAAGGAGGGTTAATTCAAATAAAACCCCCATAAACTCCCAGGGAGGCAACAATTGATGTAACAGAGCGAGCTACAGAAAGAAGAAAGCTAGGGCTAAGGAGTCACAGGATATTCTATGGTCTTTCCGTGGTCTGCCTTTGAAATTCAGGTGATTCGAACACCCAAGGTAATCTTGAAGCCGGGGGAGAAAAGCCCAAAAAGGTTTCCTGAAGATGTGTCTGTGCGCTTTCTCTGTCTGGACTATACTTCACTCGATAGTCTAGACGACTGGGAACTGCGTCTGAATGACAGTGCTGGCGAAGAATATGGCAAGTGCCAGGACTGCCAGAGAGCCAGCAGACCTGTCTTAGAGGTGCAGCCAGAATGCGCCCTCATCTCACAGCCTCCTCACCTTTGGGGGTGTTCTCAGGAAAGACTAGCTCCTGGCAGAGGACCATGCATAGTAAAGTAGAGGGTCAAGGACAAAGAGGAAGACCCCCGGCGGGTTGGATTGACACAATGGCTGCAACAATGGGCTCAAACATAAATGTTACGGACGGAGCAGGACCGGGCAGTGTTTCATGCATAGCAACACTGGGGTCACTGAGTTGGAGCCAACTGGACAACACCTAAGCTGTAGACATGTGGACAGGGATGCAGGGGACAGGCGGGTCTAGACAAGAGGGGGAGGGGAAAGATTACTCCCTTCCCCCCGCGCGCGCCCCGTGGAGCAGACAGTTTTCACAGTTTCACTGGCCTCTCCTCTGGTCCTAGGGTCTGTTGGGATGGTACATGGTAAAGAGCGGATTGGAGGAAAAGCCCGACTCCCACGACATCCCTCGAGTCAGTCAGTACCGCCTGGCGGCACACCTGGGATCAGCCCTTGTTCTGTACTGCGCCAGCCTGTGGACCTCGCTCTCGCTGCTGCTGCCTCAGCACAAGGTAAGAGCACTGTTGCCATGGCTGCAGGGAGGCTGATGGCCTCAAGGAAATGGAAGTGCTGGTTCTAACGGAAGGTAGGTCTACACCAAAACCCAGGATTCCCTGCAACATCTATCTGTACAGAAACTAGACATGAGTGGAGCTTCGGGAAATACTGACCATTAAAACCGGATAAGTTGTAGATTGGCTGCAAAGAGAAATGTGCAGACGTTCTCTTGAGCTGGGGCAGCTCATTCACAGGTATCCTTTGTGAATGCAGACCACAAGCACATCTCTGCCGTGTCCCGTTGTTCCTGCATGCAGGTCAGCCCATCTGAGGGACTTTCTTTCTTCTTTAGTTGCCAGAAACGCGTCAGCTCCTTTGGCTGAGACGGTGCGCTCATGGAACTGCGGGCTTCGTGTTCCTGACCGCACTCTCAGGTAAGACTCCTCGGCCAGCGTGGCCTGGCCCTTCCTCGCCCTGTGTCCTTTGGCGGATGACTTTTCCCCTTCCTTCTCCATCCTGCGTGTCATTTCACCGCTGCCTCTCTCGCACCCACCATCTGCACTCTGCTCTCCAGTCAGGGAGCAGAAACACTAAGCATCCACCTGAATCTAGACTATCTTGGTTCAAATCCTGGCTTTACCACCACAGAACTCCATGACCTGTAGAATGTCTCTGGACCCTGATGACCTCATCGGTGAAATGGCGGTGATGATAATAGTTTGAGTAACAGACGGGAAGCGTTTAGAACAGTACCTGGGCAAAGACTACTGTGTGCGCAGTGTTGTGATTACCTGACACCAGGATGTGCCAGACAGGCCCGCTCTCAGGGTGGGGCTCAGGAAGGCAGAAAGACCAGCATCAGCCTTTCCTATTCTTTCAGCCACACCACAGCCTCAACTGCTCTGACGCTGGAACTGTGCTAATATAGTAACCACTGGCCTCATGGGTTGCTATTTAATACATTATTCAAAATGAAACGTTTTAATTATAGAAGTTAGTTCTGTGGTCACCCTAATCACATTTCAGGTTCTCCTTAGCTACCTGTGGTTAATGTGGTTAGTTACCAGGATGTGGAGCAGGACAGAGAGAACATTGCCATCCCTGCATGACTGGGAGTAGGAGGAATGATCTGTTTGCAACAGTGGCCTGGGATCCGAGTCCTAAAGAAAAGGGAGTAGATTGTGCAGGCTGTTTGTATTTCCAGAATCTGTCAGTAGTTTTCAGTCGAAGTGAGAGGGGCATCCACATCACGAAGCACGTATTTCCAAACGACTAGACTTCCTCCTGCAGAGCTAGGCTGCTCCTCCAGAGGGGGCTTGCCCCAGTCTCAGGCAGGAGTAAGGGTGGATGCACATTGATTGGGTTTTGTTCTTAAGTTGCCATGGTGATTGTTCTATTAAATCCCCTATTGTAGATCTTTGTATTGTTCTCTGTACCTTTTGCCTAACTCAGGGATAATGTGCTTTTTCTATGTCGGCACTCGTCGTACTTGGTCTCCTCTCGTCTGAATCAATCCATTTATCTTGGTGTACAGGGGCTTTTGTGGCAGGGCTGGATGCTGGGCTTGTGTACAACTCCTTTCCCAAGATGGGCGACTCCTGGATCCCAGCAGACCTCTTTACCTTCTCCCCTATCCTGAGGAATGTTTTTGAGAATCCCACCATGGTGCAGTTTGATCACCGTATCCTGGTAAGCCTGGCTGGTGGTTACCATACTAAACGAGGGGGCTGGGGCTGTGTTCACAGGCCTCGGGTGTCAGTGATGCGCTGCTGGCTTCTTGGAAGAAATCCTAGTAACAGTCCTCTGACCAGACGGGTTTGTGTTAATCGCCCACATCTCCTCCAGCCGAAATCTGCCTTTCAGAATACTGTCAACTTCCTACGTTGTAATACATACATAGACCTTCGACCACCCTGGCACGTGACAGGTCACCTCTTTCAGTCTTATACACACACGGGGGAGTGTCCTTTTGGCAGAAATTGGGAACAAAGAAAGCACAAGGAGAGTGGTTGCCAAGAGGCTAGCTGTTAGAGCTGACCCAGAACTCCTAGGAGCCAGGAGTATCGTGCATACTTTAATTTCTTTTAAGCTCATCCTCGTAAAGGCCTGCGAGGTCCGTGTTAAGATGGGCTTGGTGGACATGATAGGTTGGTACAGAGAAAGGTCAGCAGCAGGGAGACCAGTGAGAAGCAGTGCTGCCTTCACAGTCCCGCCCGAGTGTGCGAGTGAGGCGGGCCAAAGAGAAGAGAGGCGAGACTGAGGAGGCTTTCAAGGAATAGAGGGCTAATCCGGTTGACTGGTAGGAACAGAGTGAAGACAGGTCAAGGGAGATCCCAGAGTTCCTTAGGTGGCATGGCTTCAGACATGGCCCACATGAGTCAGATGGTTGTACCTAGAGAATTTCTATGTAAATGTGCGTGCAGCTGTATAGTTCGAATTCTTGCCCTGACTCTAAGTTAAGCCTCAACCCACAAGTTAAAGATTTCATAAAAGATGCACAGACATGGTGTTTGAACGAGCATTGGGTGAGAGATAGGAAGCGGTCCTCCCGAGTGAGGCTGTGGAGCGTGCAGTGATGAGAGTAGACCCAGGGTCCTGCGAAGGGAAGGCTGGGAGCAAGCGACCTCGGGCGGGCGAGCTTCCCAGCGCCACGTGGGATTTTGAAGTAAGTAAAGCCTAGTTGGAATTGTTGCCACGGACAGCTCTGAAAAGTGAAACCAACATGGAGCTGTAATTGAACAGTGTCTGCGTTGGCATCACGGAAACGGCCAGTCCCAGGCCCTTGTTCTGAAGGGGTGGGAGACCAGCAGGGTGGGGGAATGTTCCTGCTGCCCAGGTGCTGAGAGCATCCGCCCTTCCCACAGGGCATCAGCTCCGTCACGGCTGTCACAGTGCTGTACCTCCTCTCCCGGCGGGTTCCCCTTCCTCGGAGGACCAGGATGGCAGCCATGGCCCTGCTGGCTGTAGCCTATACCCAGGTACAAAGCTCTTCTTCCTTCATCTGAGGATGTCCCCCAGACAAAGTTTTAAAAAGAAAAGCAGCAGGCTAGGACAACGTATTGTTTATAATCAACTAAAAGATGAATAGCCAGAAAATAAGTAAAGATCATCTCTACGTAATTCTCAGAAGAGGACCGGCCAGTAGCCCCGAAACCCTGTTTCCCCTTGCTTGTGAGCAGGGATGAGCAAATTAAAACAGGAGTACCACTTTGTGTGTTAGACTGGGAAAACACAAAAAGAAACAATGATCGGGCCCTGTTATGGGGTATAGGACAAATGGATCCCTTCATCTGTTGTGGGTGAGTGAGAATCTTTGTTCAGGGCAGGTTGGCACTATCTGAAAATGGTGAATATAGGATTCTTTGATCTGGCAAATGGACTGAGTGGTGCCTGCCCTAGAGCTATCCTAATGCACAAAGAGCTGTGTCCAAGGGAATCCCTGTGGCCTCCTGACACTCGTGAAGACGGCAGACCACCCCCACCCCCGAGGTTAACTAGACCGCTGCGGTGGCAGCATTCTCCAGAATGCTATACAGTAAGTAGTGAAAGGCAGTAAGATCTCAAGAGTTACTGCTTATTGGGAAAAAGCAAATTTCAGAGCAGTATCCTTTTTAAAGGCAACGAGATTCCCCCTATACATATTTATACAAAGTACTAGCGGACAGACTGGGAACAGGCAGGCTTTCGAGAGGGGAACTGGGACAGGCGGGCAGGATCATTAACTTCTGGGTTTCTTTCCCTCCTACTAAGTACACTTACCTGAGAAAGAAAAACTTCCTTCTTGGGGTGTTCTGATGGGCAAATGGGGAGGTTTCTGCGTCAGGCACGCCTTGCCCAGTTGGTTGCAGCTCTGAATGTCTTACCGCTTTCCTTCCTTTGAACCAGGTCGGCTTGGGCATCAGCACTTTACTCACGTACGTTCCCACCCCTTTGGCGGCCACTCACCAGTCGGGCTCCCTGGCTCTGCTCAGTGTGGCCCTCTGGCTCATGAATGAACTCCGACGTGTCCCCAAGTGAGGAGCAACTTCCTCGGGCTGGAACCGAGTCTCCGAGAGCTCAGATGGCCACGAGAACTTGGGCTGGTCTAAGCGGGGAACCTGGCCCACCAAGTCGCTTCCACGTCATTTCAGACTTTGGGCCCACTGTGTTGAGGCCAAGTCCCTGGATCAGAAATGTCCATCACATGTGGTTTACATGACAGACTCCCCTCTGAATAGATTACTTCTCCAACTGAGAATTAGGGTCCATGAAGAGAAAGACGTCTGCCATGGCTCTGCCCTTACTAGGGCGGGTGCTGGATGTGGGCAGGTTCTTGAGTCTTTGGGCATGATTTCTGTCTGGGCTTCCTGAGTCCTGAATTCTGCTTAAACGGCAGCTCTTTCCCACATCCACTCCCCTGAGGTGGAGGTTTAAAGGGAAGGATTGGCACACCCTAAAGTAACCAGCAAGCTCTCAGCAGCAAAGAGCCTGTCCTTCTGCTATCTCCATTTCAAAAATGGGGAGAGATTTTGACAAATTAATGTCTACAGACTGCAAGTTGGTTTACAAGAACTTGACAGGAGGCCGCTGCTGGGTCAGAAGAACAGAATCGGCGACAGTTCCCTGGAAGACAGAAGGAGCTGTGGCTGGTGGACGCTCAGGTAGCCCCGACTGACAACGTATCCGAGTGATGCTGAGCCATAAAGGCTGCTCACTTCAGGTGGTGTGTCTGTTGTTTTTAACTTTACATCTTACGTGCTACGTACTACACACATTGTTTCAGTACAGAATTTGCTGATGTTATCCTCATGCCAATCTTCAAAGACAAAGATCAGATTTGTAAAAATACCAATAATAAAAGGTACCAATAAATGAGGACTTGGGAAAAAAATCCCACGGCCAGCAGAACTAATTTAGGATGGCATCTTGGAATGGAGCCGGCCGTAAGTCGGGGACTGCCTGTACATGGGAATCTGTGGATGTCTAAACACATCATTAAAGAATGAATGGCCGCGATTGAAGTTACACAGGGCTCTGTATGGGTCCGCTTTTTTGGCTTAATCGGTCATCTGGAGGAAGGCATCAGGAACATCTGGTTTGAGGATGGAACAGAGCACGATGCCTGCACAACGCCGAGCAGCCCCAGACTGAGAATGACCCCAGCCGGTGCGCTCACATAAATGATCCATTAAACAGGTTAGAGTGTTGGGTGGAGAATCCTGGCTTTGTAGCATTTTCTATAGAAATGACGTGAGGATGTCAGTTGGGCACAGGCTCAACATGAACTGACAAGGCAGGACACTGAAAGGGCGTTTGAGTAGAATTGTCACAGCGGGCCGTGTCCAGGTGGACCGCAAACTGAAAAGGACATTCACCCCCAGAGTGTTCAGAAGAGGAAGATACCCAGATGCCACAGGGATCTTTTGCGGGGAATGCATATTGAGGGAGAGGGCAAGCTTCCTGAGTTTGACACTTTGGCGCCTTTGTGCAGAGTCGGGAGGAGTGGATGAATGTTGCAGGAAGGCAGGTGTTCGTTCTGGGAAGGCAGTCGTAGGTTAGACCAGATCAGCTGCCCACTGGGGCCAGGCTGGTGGAGCCTGCCGAGTCAAGTCAGGCAAAGGCCTGGGGAGCTCTGGCTCGTGTTGCTGCCCTGCAGGCCCAGGATTTCCAGGCCTGCTAGTCTTGCCAGCAAGCATGTAGATGTTTAGGTGAAAGCTCTTCATCGAAGTTGTTGGCAACTAATTCCATGTTCAAAGAAATGCTCTGTAGGCCAAAGTACTCTTTTGGCTACCACCAGTGGCCCACGCTTCACCCATCGTGTCTCAAACCAAACTCTGCCCTGGAACTGGTTCTGGGCTAGATGGCCTTGGTTCTCTTTCAGAGTCGTCCTGCAGTGAGCAGCTGAGGGAGATGTCCTCAGGAGCAACCCAAAAGTAGACCATTTGGATTTTCAAGAACCCCACACCCTGGCGGGGTTATACTGTTGCCCAGCATTTTAGAGCTATTATTGATGCGTTATTTTAAAAGGTGTTCACCTTAGGTTGATTCCCAGCTTCTCCCACATTCGATAGAATCTTTTCAAAAGCTCAAACCTCAGCCTAAATAAATGACAATCTTGGAGACCAGGAACCCGCCTCCATCAGGTTCCCCAGTGATTCCAAACTGCACACAAGTTTGAGCCTGTGTCCTAACAGCCTAGTCTACGTAGAGAATCCTGACCAGCTTGATCCATCCCATAGAATCTCCTCCCTGGCCTGCCTCGTTTAATCATTCCTGCTAGTGTGATAAGGAGCCCAGGTGGTGCAGTGACTGGTGACGCATTGGTTAGCAGTTTGAAACCTCCACAGGAGAAAGATGAGGCTTTCTACGCCTATAAAGAGTTACCGTCTCAGAAAACCCACAGGGCAGTTCGACCTTGTCCTATAGGGTTGCTGAGTCAGCACTGGCCCGCTGTCAGTGAGTGGTTTTTCTGGGTAGTGTGTTAACCTCTTCTGCATAGAGTTCTTGAAAGAAATGCTGCCGCCCTCATTGGGACGGCCTCCCACATGGTCACCTCATCCACAAACATTTTTTTTTTTTTTAAGACAGCAGAGGGCTGTCTTTGGCCTACCCAACCCAAAGGACCCAATGCTAATTCTCGTCTCCTCCAATAACATAGCAACTCGTGACTAAGTTCAAGTTTCAGTTTATTAAATATGATGGAAAACGTCTGGGAAGATGGGTCTGCTTACATTTAGCTCTAGTCTAGCCAGTCTCTCAAGGCAGTCAACCAGATTTGTCGTTCATGTATACTAACAAGGGGTCATGATTACCCCAACTCTAAAGTGATACTGGTAGCAAAGGCCCAAACTAGCGCTCCTCCTCCTGGGATAGCCAGTTGATCTGCAAGCGTCATCTGGTGGTGGGTTTTGTGTCAGCGTGAAACCAAGGCCCACACCCCGCGTGAGGGCTCGTGCATGGCCTCTCGTGCATTGCATAGTCTGCCCAACACTGAGTTAGTCTTCATCACCACGAGCTTGAAGAGCTGTGTTCAGGACCACCGTTTCACGGGAAACAGGCGCACACAGCATCTGCAGCCCAGGCAGCCTGCGGGGTTTCTGTGAGGAGAGAGCCTCTGGTTCTGGATCCTAATAAGAAAGAGGCCGCCGATACACTGCAAAACGCACTGCTCACAGCAGAGTAATGGAGGGGAGACAGCATATGCTCCTGCACCTGCCTACAAGGGAACAGCTGAAAGAATTTTAAACAAGAAAACCAGAACTCAATTTGCCGGGGTCCCTCCTTGCAGAGAAAGCCACTTGGGAAGCTAATAAGGTTCCGAACCATCAGCGCCAGCTTCACAGGCCTAGGTGCTCAGGAGAGGAGCCACGGAGGAGCTGCCAGAGCTCCCGTGGTGCAGAGCAGTGGCCGGCCACCAAAAGGAGCCTGATGGCTGCCCTGCTCTGAAGAGGATCAGGAGTTCTTGGGGCTTGCCAGAAGTCATGCACACATGGCTATAAACTACCTATGACATAGGTATTTTCCTCAACTTTGGTATCTATGAAATTGACAAGCAATGATTGAATACACCTTAAAAGTAGAAAGCCCTTAGAAAGGAGTCCCTGTCACAAACAAAAGGATCTAATTGTGCAGACTTCCAGGGAAACGGCTGTGCTGTTGCGCTCAGGGCCCTCCATGTAGGGCACTAGTCATCTGGGCTCTAGGGATACACTAGGCAACAGGGAAACTGGTGTCAGGATGCAAGGGAGTCTCCTGGGATGTAAGAAAGGAGATGGGAAGGAGACAAGAGGCTTCAGATGAAGCTGTAGCAAGCCACGTGTGCGAGAACCCCAGGTAGAAACCACAACCAGAAGACGGACGGATCCCCGGGTGCAGGCCCTCCGTCGTTTCGGTTTAGATCCAACCCAGACCATGATGAAGACAGGAGTGGAGCCATCGAGAGGGAGGCAATCCCTCAAAGCACCCGATTTCAAGCATGTTCACTGGTTGGCAAAGGAGAAGCAGAAGAAGCCTGCTGTGTTGTTTATTCATTGGAAGGATCGAAACTTGCCGTTTTTTAAGGCCTCGTGTTTTACTATGATCTTTTGTAGCAGCAACAAAATCCTCGCAGGTTGGAGGGAAGCATCTGGCCCAGTGACAGTGAAGCCGGGAGAAGCTAACGGAATGACCGGAGGGAATTCTTAAGCCCAATTCAAAGCTACACCACCTACCACCAGCAAGAAGGGAAAGTCAGATAGTAGCTCTGAATTGCTTTGAGAAGGGCTGTAAAGACGGCAGAGAGGAACTTTGTTGCTGTAAAGAAGCCTGGAGACTGCCCGGGAGTTAACCACCAAATTCCTATCGCGGGAGGGCCAGTAGGCATGTCTCCCTTACGTGAGGCTGAATTGTAACCACCAGGACCTGCTGAAGAGAACTGTGGTTGAAGCCAGCTGTACAAAATTAAGCACGTTATTTGAAAAAGGCATGTAAATATTTTTAAAGGATTAAAAGAAATTTGGACAAATCTAATCAACCTCAGCCTTATTACCAGGGGCTATGGATAAAACAGGAGGTGACCAATGGCTTTAGGGGACGCCTGGTCTTTTAAGCCAAAGACCAGAGCCCGCTTCCAGACACTGTATGGCTTTTCGATCTTCTCTCTCGCTCTAGTTCCGCTGAGTCTCCTGTTGAGCTACCTCATTCTACAGACCAGAAGGGAGCCCGAGGGCAAGTGGCATGCTCCTGGGAACCAAAGCCGAGATGAGCAGCCCAGTCTGCTGTTCATTAAGCCCAAATCATGCCACCTACTTGTCTGTCTGCCACCCTGGACCAAAAAAAAAAAAGCAAACTACAAAACTATGGGGAAGTAGGGTGGAGGGGAGGTATGTGTTTAGATAAAACCAGTAAGGAACTGTAAATGGGGATGTGACAATAAATGTTAGTGCTTGCGAAGACGAATTCAGGAAGTTCAGGGCAGACAGTCAGTCAACAACTTGCCAATCATCACTGCCCTCGGCCTTTGAAATTGAAGACCGCTCTTAGACCGAGGGAGGGACAGAATTTCGGATGACATCCGGAGAGTAAATGAGGTTGGTGGGAAGTGATTCGGATTTCCTAGACCAGTGAAGTTCAAGGAGCGAAAGTACAGAGAGACAGACAGCATGCGTTGGCTTTGAGATACTACCGGTTGAGTGGCTGTCATGCCACTGCTCAAAGGACAAACATTCATCTTGGAAGAAGCACGGCCAGAGTGGCCTTGGGGGAACGGATGGCGACGAGGCTTCCTCTTACATACTTTGGACATGTTGTCAGGACACACCAGCTCCTGGAAAAGCGGAGGGGCAGAGAAAAAGAGGAAGGCCCTCAACAAGATGGATTGGCACAGCGGCTGCAACCATGGGCTCAGGCGTAGGAACAATTGTGAGCATGGTCCAGGACCGGGCAGGGTTTTCGTTCTGTTGTGCCTAGGGTCGCTATGGGTTGGCACCGACCTGATGGCACCTAACAACAACAACGCCACATGATTGGGTGCTTTGCGTACGTTCACGGTGGTGACGAGAACTCACTCCCAGGACTGAGCTGGAGGCAAGGTGGTGCGACCAGGAGACTGGAAACGCAGCATCACTATCGGCCGCTGGCTTCCATCCTGACACGTGACCTGCCCCAAGCATGGCAAACAAAGAATTTTAAAAGTTCAGGTCCACTGTAAATGTGATCAAGAAATCATCCAAGGAACCAGGATACGGTCAATTTTATAAAACTCATTTTCTCCACAAGGGACCGTTCAAAATGTAAAAATTCATAAAGAATAAAAATCTGGGGGGAAAAAGTAAGGGTTCAAAGTCTGGCAAGAGAGGATCCTATTTATAGGATGACACCTATAAATAAGTTTTCATTATGAAAAAGCACAATACCTAAGTCATTGGCAAGGGAGCACATGTCTTGTGTCTCATGATGTTTCCAGCTATGCAGTGGAAACCATGGGGGAGGCAAACTGCCCTCCGCATCATCACACTGGGATGCTCGAATATCCTCCCGGGGCAGTAACGCCACCGCCTAGGCAGCATCATGCCGAAATCAGGAGCAAACGGCGCTGTCTGCACAACTGAACAAAAACTTAAAAACACATTAGGAATAGGGCATCGGTTTCTATGGAGGGGGAACTAAAAGATAAACATAGGCATCCTGAGTTTCTCAACTATAAAAACACAGTAGCCACCTGAAAGGTTGTTGTAATGATTAGAAAACACAAACTATTCTTACCAGCGGGCCTGGTACACACGAAGTGCTTGAACAAACGGTCGGCGTTCTCGCCACAACGCTCCTATGAAGCGCTATCTCGCCATTGGGTCAATCACAACTCCTCCTCGCTTCAAGTTCATGTGGCGCACAAGGCTGGGACCCCTGTTCAGTCTGTCAGGTCGATTTTGACTTGGCCGTTTCCGCCCAAGAAAACCAGAAAATAGCACTCGGAAACCAAGGGGGGGCAAAGGTTACCTGAGTGGGCACTGGCTAGCCAACACGGACTGTGACGTTATGTATAAGCCGTCTTCCTTCAGGCCAGGGCCTCCGCCTCAGGACCCAGAGAGAATATGAAGTCAAAGAATATCCAGGCAATTTCGAGGTCTAAATACGGAAAGGAAACCGCCGTGGCACAGTTCTAATGAAAAGGAACGACTAGGTCCAAAAGAAACCGCACTCCTCGGCACCAGGTGCGCCTGCCTCTGCTGGGAAGAGAGGCTCCTGGCTCCCCTACAACCAAGCGGCAAGACACGCACGGCACCTCCGTTTTTGTCTCTGGTGGGTGAAGCCGGGCATTCCTTTCCAGTCTCCGTGTGGAATTGCTATGTTGCAGAATTCCATGATGTTTTTCCTTTCAGGTCAGAAGGCCCTTTACCCTCTTCACTCAGAGATGACCCCAGCTCTGGGAGTCACCCTGGGCCCGATGTCCACGGCCCCCAGGGGGCACAAGGGAAGGAAGGATACAGAAGGCTCCACAGGAAAGACAAGAGTCCTTGGAAGGGAACGGTTCAAGCCATTTAAATGCTGGATGTGGGGAAGGAGCCAATCTCCTGAAGGGGAGCTTTGGGTGGATGCAAATGGCATCCTGATGGCTGCCCCCCACCCCCCCATTGATGGAAATGCAGGTAGTGACTGAGCAATGGCTTAACAGAAGAAGTTCTAAAGGTTGCCAGATAGCTCATCAGCAGATGGAGCCGTTTGTTCCAAAATGTGAAACTTTTCAGACATTCCAGAAGTCAAAAGATTGAAAAATTCCTCTCAAACATAAACAAAAACTTCAACATGAATAAATAGGAGCTTTCATTTTATTGCCTTTGCCCACACTTCTGTTTCTCTTGCAGTCTTTGTAAATGAGCTCCATGCACTCCTCCGCAGACTGCAGACTGATCTTGGTAGTAAAGGGGAGGAGCTCACTGAATCTCCCTATCCATCAAAAGAGGCTGGGAGACCCAAAACTAGACGGTGCCGGGCCCGGAGCCCCATCACGGCGCTCCGTCATATGAGCACAGTGAAGGCTCGATGCCCTAACCGCCCGCCTGTGAGGCACATGGACACAGAATTCATTGCCGCCCTGGTCTTACCAAGGATCCCATATGTTATTGTCAGAATCTTCGATAGACCATTTACAAGGGGTTTTACCCCTTTTACAAACACACACACACACACACCACCATGGGCAATACCAGGGTCCCCATATGTTATTGTCAGAATCTTCGATAGACCATTCATTTACAAGGGGTTTTACCCCTTTTACAAACACACACACACACACACCACCATGGGCAATACTCTGTGGGAGGGTTTGGGCCATGCCCACAGTGGCTTCTTTGTCAAGTCAGCCAGGAAGCTGTATGCTATTTTGGTGGCTTAAACGGCAAAGATTTGGTCCACTGAACGGCAAAGATCTTGGAACCCGACTGAAGGCTGTGGATCTCCGCATCAATTAAAGCGCTGTTACAGAGAAGGAAGGGGCGGCTGCACGTCCTGCGATGTCTCTGAGTTGGCGTCCGATGCTCCAGGCTTGGGTTCAATCAAGCTTCCACCAAGGTGCTGCCCAATGCCAAACCTGGTGCTTTAGCGAGGGGAGAAAAGGCTAGATCCCCAGGACCGGCCCTCTCAGACAGGGGAATAGAGCGTGCAATGGAGCTCCAGCTGGCCCCCTGTGTTAGCACCCATCTCTCAGGGCGTGTAGTTCTTCACAGCTTGCATTATAGCTTCTCTCAGAGAAGAGGCCCCGGGGTGCATGGATGTCATCGAAGTAGACATCCCACGGCCGGTTATCCAGAAGGTCAGGCAAAGCAGCACCTGAAGCCAGTGCGGGAACGTGGTGGAATTCCGTGAGCAGCAACTCTGGGCGAGTCACATTTCTCGAGTCTTGGTCCAGCCTCATGGCTCCACCTGTACCCCAATCATGGGCACCACCTCCTCAATCCACAGCAAGTTCAGTGGCGCTGAGGCTCGGGCTTGTCGGTGGTGGATTCGGCGCAGCCGCAGAAGGTACAGAATGATGGCCAGCAGCACCACCAGGATGCAGGCGAAGAAGAGATAGTGATTGTAGACAAAAGACAGGCGAAACCAGCCACCGTGCATTTGCCGGACACCCTCCTGCCGTCTATCCCTAGGGAGGAATTTGCAGGGGGAATACAACGTTAGTTCCAGCAAGAAACGTTGACGCTGGTCTGAAAGCCCCCTGGATTCTCTCATTTATTCAACCGATAGCAGCTCCACACAGCAAGCGAAGCTGACGAATGTCATGTCGCAAATCCCAGGGCTGCTCGGGGCAGTTCCTCCCCAACCCCGCCTTTCACGGTGTACAGAGGAGAGTCTCCTAGACCAACCCTCTCCAGAAATGAGGGCGTAAATTAGAAGGCCCTGAAAAACTCAAGTTAAAAAAAAAAAAAACGAAGACAAGATGGGCCATCTATAACATAAAAAGTCTTGAAATATGCTTTGTAAATATGGCACTAATGAGAACAGGGGTCCCCCGAATCCAATCAAGAAATCAGAGTACTGTGAAAACTTTAAAGAAAAAGAGGAGTTTCTATGTTCCTTCGAATTTAGAATATATCTGATGGAAGTTATTACCTCATCAACTGCACTATATCCTGGGAAATGAGAAAAACTTGTGTAAACCAAAGTGCAGTGGTCTGGCTACCTGGCACAGAAGCCAATATGGTATCCTTGATGCCAGATGCAATTTTGTTTTGTTTGGCCTACTGAGTGAGTGCGTGAGTTTTAATATGACTCTCCCAATAGAAGGACTTCACAGAAAATACCGATATCTGGCTTCTCATGACAAATTGGCACTGATAGAGTAGCACTTTCTCATGGCAGCCATCAGCTCGATAATTGGGTCCCCTCTCTCCAGTTTCCCGTGACTCCCCTCCCCTCGCCTACTTCCCTGCCTGCCATCTCCTGCCTGGCTCGGAGGCCCAGGGACCGGAGATGAAGGATTCATCCTCCTTTCTCTGAAATTGTCCAAGGGAGGGGGTGTGTGACAAGTGTCCCAAGCATCTTATATGGCAGTGATGAGGCCAGAGGAGCAGATGGTGGATGGTCACTTCAGCAACTTATTCTGAAGAACCAACATCCTCAGAGCTCCAGGTGCCGGTGGCCTGCCTTGCTTTACCTGAGTGGTAAGAATCGTGTTTTATACAGAATGGCTCCCAGTGTCCACTGCACCTCTCGGTCATACACCAGCTGGGCCGTCCGTAGGTTTGGGTAGTCATAGGGAAAGTGGAACCCTTCGTGAAGGACTTGGTACACCCAGGCCGACTTAAAACACTGATACCTGCACAAGAGAAAAAGAAAAGGGGGGGGGGGAGGCATTCTAATAGTTTCCTTTGCAATAAGCCACTTCACACCTTTACTTAAAAAAATCAGTTGCAGTTAATTCCAGCGGACGACGACCCCACAACAAGAGTCTATCAAGGGGCCCGGGAGCTACTCACTTGAGTCTGTGTTCATCTGCATGTGATGAAAAGAGGCCGTTCTTGAATCTCTGAGTGAGGGCCGACCAGGTCATGCCACAGTAATCCTGGAGGAGAAATGTGGCCCAGAAATGGCGCAACCTGAGATGACAGGCACACTCAAAACATTCCGACCCAATCAGAGCGGTCATCTTTTCAATTTTCTTGTGGGATGCTGGCGGCCAAAGGGGCACAGAAATGGCACATCCGCTCGCTGGATGTTGTGCCAGGTCCTGTGTGCAAGGCCAGTCCCAGAACTCGGGGCACGGCGGGACTTGAGTGGGCGGAGGACAATTTCCCATGGCCTCCAAGTGCAGAACTAACACAGCCTGACGTGGCCCTTGAGTTCCGCAGCTGCAGAGAAGGGCAGGGAGAAGGCTTCCGAGAGCTCCCTTCTACTCCATGTAGGTCGGACACGAGCAGTCCAAAAGCTACCGCTGCCCTCTTCCAAGATCTACTTAATTTGGGATCAAATGGACACAAGCACCTCAAAGGGCTGGACAGGAAACTTAGCGAGCGGAACGTTTACGTGTCTGGGGGAAGGGCAACTCAGAAGAGGAGGGTGAGGAGGGCTGGACACGGGAGGAATGTTACCAGGGGCACCGAGTTATACATGTAGAAATTATGTTCTCCGGTGTTTAAATGGAATTTCAATCACACGCACACACCTGCCTCCGTGTTGTAATTCTCATCCAAGATCACTCCTTTCGGCCGTTCATTCCTTCAACTGCTATTTACTAAGGGTTCCAGGTGCCATTCTAGGTGCGAGCAAGAAATAAAGCAGAGAAAAGTCCTGTCCTCAGGAAGCTTCTATTCTAGTGGTGGGAGAGTAACAAGAGATAGAGGTGTGCGTGCACGCGTATACACACACACACACACACACACACACTGACCTCCACAGAGCCTGACTTGAGGACAAAGCGCTCAGAAAACATGAAGCAGGAAGGGACATGGGGAAGGATGGCGAGGGCTGCCATTTCAGTAGGGTGCCCAGGGAAGGCATCACTAGGAAGTATGTGAGGCAAAGTAAAGGAAGGAAATACAACCAGGTGGGTGTCTTAGCAAGGAGTAAGACCCACAAGGGCACAGGTGCACAGGGAGGCGTGACCTTGTCCCATTTGCGGATCAGCAAGCCCGTGTGATAGAAAATGAGATGTGAGAAATAACAGGGCCAAGTTACACGGGGCCTGATGAGGCACCTAAGTTCTGACTCAGGTTGGTCGGCTGGTTGGTTTCTGAGAGAGTTAACATTTGGGAGTTGTAGACAGGGGGCTATGCTGATAGAATGCGTAAGTCTGGAAGTTCAGGGGAAGGCCTAGGCTAGAAATAGAAATTTAGAAGTGTTTTCTTAACTTAATACTCCCACTTTTCCAGTGTCCTTCCAACGATCCGGGACGCCACACCACTCTGACCCGGACTTGCCCACCTGTGTGGCAGCACAGGAAAGGGTGACCTGGGTGGCATTTTGAGTAAATTGCCACCCATGGAAACCCAAACTTCATTCACTAGAGAGCAGGGGGGTGGAGAAGGTTCTCAAACTTTGTAAAAAGGAGGGCTCAGCGAGGTTCTGAAGAGAATCGATGAGATCATTGGAAGCCCTTTGGACAGCACGGGCATGATGTTAGGCACCGTGCTGACTCATCTGTCTTGGTAAGGACCTACCTGAGCAGCCTTGGCAAACGATGGCCCATGGTAGCGGCCACCGATGCGCAGCACATCCTCGGTACAGTAAAAGAACTCCGAGAAGCCGTAGAACTCGCTGTTGTTGAAGTCAATTGGCGACTGGTAGATGCCGTTCAGCGAGGCTTGGCTAGTGTTGGAGCGAGCCAGCAGCGGGCTCAGCATGGCCCCACACGTCGCCCAGTCTCCTCTGCCTCGAACATGCAGGACTTGGCTGTTCCTCTCCACCACATCCGTGAGTCCCACAGGCAGGCAGGGGTCCAGAAACGGATTTTCGGGACTTAGGCCTGTCTTCTGGCCCAGCCACCTGCCATAAGGATACAAAGAGGCGGTGACGCTCTCGTCCTGAGGCCACCGTGTGCTGCACAGCCAGTGCGCTCCTGTCCCTGGACGTCCTCAGAAGCAAGGGCAGAGCTGGACGGTGCAGGCTTAACTTAGTGCACCAAGAAAGAGATCTGGTGCCGATTCAGTTCACTCGACCTTTCAGCCACGGGCTCCACAGCTCCCCAGTGACGGCCAGACTGGAGGATGTACCCGCTGTTCTCCATCCGCCCTTCATCCTCACAGGCCTCGGAGAAGGACAAGGATCGTACCGTCCTGACCGGGGTTCCCGAAAAAACGACTGAGGAGGCCCAAGGGGAGGGCGTCCCAAGGGGCGAAGTTCTCAAGCGCAGGGAGTGTCTGGCTCTGAAGGGGACCAAGAGGGGCTGGGGCTGAGCTCGAGCCCCGTGTGGTGAGCAGGAATGGAGGGACAGGTTTTGAGTCCCAAAGTGGCCTCACACAGCTCTGGTTATTTACCTGCCTAGTGCCAGCTTTCTTGAGTCATAAAGAAATCCAGGTGCGGACGCGGCACCAGAAAGAAATTAAGTGGAGGCCAAACTTGGTCAACGACAACTGACCGCTACTTAGTTCCTATGCAGAGAGATGCTGAAGAGCAGACTTCCTGGGATGAAGGTGCAGCCACAAATGTAAAGCCTAAGGGAGGGAGAGAAGCCCTGGTGGCGTAGTGGGTTCCATCGTAGGCTGCTAACTGCAAAGTCAGCAGTTCAAACCCACCAGCTGCTCTAAAGGAAGAAGATGAGGCTTCCTACTCCCAAAACAGTGACAGTCCCCAAACCCACAGGGGCAGGTCTAGCCTGTCCGATGGTGTTGCTATGAGTCAGAATCAAGAGGACGGCAGCGAGTTTTTTGCTTTGAAAAACAAAGGTCTAAAAGCGGCCTCACCCAGATCCAGAGGGGTTGCCAGCACAGGGTTCCTAAGAGCCGCTGCCGCACCCGCTGAGGTGACAGGGAGGAGGAGGAGGAGGAGGAGGCAACGGCTCAACTGTCTCGGTGAAAAACAAAATGACCAAGCCCCTGCCTTCAGGCCCAAGCGTGACTCTTTCTTTCCTCCTAATGCTATCTGCAGCCTGGCCACACACTACCCGTAGCAACTCAGCCCCCACGTCAGACGTACCTGTTTTTGTGAAGTGTTGCATTCAACACAAGGTCTTCATAGCGCTGCCGGGCAAAGTTCCCGCCAAATCCCAGGAAGGTGGTGACGTACACCCTGTAGACATGCTCGGTGTGCTGGGCATCACAGCCCAGGTTGAACTCGGCCAGCAGGATCTTGGCAGCTTCTTCCTGGCAGATGGATAGGCGCAAAGGGGACTCTGGTTTGGATTGGCTTCCAGAAAGCTAACCCTTACTACGTGTGCTAAGCCTCCTCTTTAAAATACTGCAACACTCTTTCACCCTCTGAGCATTCTTTGGCGCAAGGGCCTCTGCGTACAAGACTGGATAAAACAAACAAGCCAACAGACCAAACTGGAAACTGACTGCCACTGAGGACAGCGCTGCCGGAAGGGACACAGGAGACAGAATGAGGATAGAGGGGTCTGGATTTGCATGTCCTTCGCGGGAGTTTCCAATGGTTCGTAATGGGGATGTCTTACTCGTTTGTAATCAGGCAGGACACATTTTAGTGAGAAATAAACGTGGAGACTCTGGTATCATTGTGGGATCTATTCTGTGGTCTTTCCTGAAGCTTTGCCGGAGAACCTGGCCTTGGGGGGTGGGAAGTTCAATCTGGTTGCCCCTCCAGTGAACAGGTGTCCTGTTTTTCTCCTTTTTCTATTTGGGCCTCAGGGGCAGAGGTTGATAAGCATCTCCCTCCGTGTCCGGCACCTGCCATGCCTTCTTCACATGGCATGGCATTTGCAAGCGGGGCGGGCCTCTGCTCACACCCACATTGCCGCTGTTCTCGGTTCAGAGCACTTGTTCTCAGCCAGGAGGATTTCACCCGCCTGCCCCTGAACCAGGGGATACTTGGCAATGTCCGGAACGTTTTTGATTCTCCCAGCTCGGGGGATATTACTGACACCACGTAAACACAGGATGCTACGAACTATATGCAATGCACAAACTGAGCAGCTTTGTTGCCCAAAACGCCCCCAGTACCAAGGCTGAGAATCGCCAGTGTTGACCAAATGACAACACTGTCAAGGTCTGCCTGGTATCTGGTATCGCCGCTGTCCCCTCCGACGGATTAGGAGCTTCCAGGGAGCACTCGAACACGGCCCATTCCTTACGCACAGCAGATGCTTGAAGATTAACTCTGCATTCCTCTCAGATAAAACTTTCCCCTCAAAACACACTCTACATTCGAGGCAAGTGAGAATTCTTAGAAGTACAGGATGGAATCACTACACAGGGTTCACTGAACAGCAAGTGGCAAAATCCTTGGCTCCAGGATTTAGGTCCATTGTCCTATTTCATCCTGGCCACCCTGTGACATAAGCCTGTGAATTGAATTTGCTACCATGTATCGAACACAGGCTGGGTAGTCTGCTAAGTGCTTTCCACCCGTGGGTCAATTCACTCTCACGATCTCATGCAGTCCCTGTTACTGTCCCCTTTTGATGTAAGGAACCTGAGTCTCAGATAATGGATCCACCCATGATCGCACAAGCTAACACGGCTCTGAACAGATATTTGGACCCAGCAGGTAGGTCCCAGTCTAAAGCCCTTTCTACTCAAACACTGACATTCCTAACCCAAACTCCAAACCAAACACACTGCCACGAAGTGGATTCCAACCCATAGCAACCCTGTGGACTGAGTAGAACTGCCCTATGGGTTTCCAAGATTGTAACTCTTAACGGGAGTAGAAAGCCTCATCTTTCTCCATCGCAGCGGCTGGTGGTTTTGAACTGCTGAACTTGCAGCCCACTATGCCCTCTGGGCTCCTCTGACATTTCTAGGTAACGCATTTCCCTAAAAGGTAAAATACCTGTTTTGGAGAAAGGTCAGAGGCTGAGGTAGGAACTTCATAAGCAATTTGGAGAGAGGCTCCTCCCATATCCAGGATCCCTACTGTCCTTCTGCGTCCGGTGGCCAATTCCTGGGGCACTTCAGTATCTGATTCTGAAATAAATCAAGGAACAGAAGGGTCCTGGTAATTAAAGACCAAAATCAAGTCCAAAGGGGAACAGCAGCACCGCGATCTCTTGCAAGAGTGAAAGCGAACCTCAACTCCGTCTATCGCCATCAGCTGCACCCCCAGGAGACCAGTGTTTCAAGTGACTTAGGACATGGTGGTTGGCGTGGATTTGGCAAAGGTTGTGTTCCATATATTTTTTATACAATTAAAAGTAAATGGTGTTTTGACTGTACAAGTATATCTCTAGTGCAGTGTTTCCCAAATGGGTGATAACGCCCCCTGGGGCCGACAGACTAATCCAGGAGGGCTGAAAAAGAAGGCGCCTACACTTTATCCTGGATTCTGGGCTACAGTACAAAAGTTTGTCATTGCCAGTGGAGTGCTAATTTTTCCCCCCCATGAAAAAAGGGGCAGTGGGTCAATTAAGGGTCAGAGCCTCTGCTCCAGTGGACTATATCCACAGGGCAAAATAAACAAATACTTTAATCTGCATTCTAAGTTGTCTTATTGTTAATAATATTACTGGTGTTACCATTAAACATGTGTTGTGGAATAAAGAAAGCAAATGCCTATGTTAATGTCTTTATACACAAAGATTCTGCATGAAAATATACGAGTATGAAATCAAAGAAATTAAGCAAAAGCCTGATCTTAAATATGAGTCAGAAATACCATTTGAACTCATAGTTTATTTTTATTCTTCAGCAAAACCCACATTCCCTATCTCTGTTCGTTCTTTGAAAGGTCAAGACACTGCTATCGAGTTGACGCTCACTCATGATGACCCTAGAGGGCAGGACAGACTGCCCCTGTGAGTTTCTGAGACTGTAACTCTTTATGGGAGTAGATCTTTCTCCCATAGAGTGGCTGCTGGTTTTGAACCGCTAACCTTACAGTTAGCAGCCCAACTCATAACCACTATGTCACCAGGGCTCCTTGAAAAGTCAAGAAACAATTACAACCTAACAGCCATGGACACCCTGGCCCCTGGCCCACGCCTGCCAATAACAGTGTCCACTGAAAAATCAGGCTCCTAGAAAAATATCAGGCCTAGAGTAGAAGTTAACCACAGACTATCTTTTTTAATATTAAAAAAATTGATAAAAGATCACACATGAATTACACTAGACATTAATAATATCATTTATATACTTTGTATATTTTAATTTTAATAGCTTTATTGACATGTGACCTACTTATCAACGGTTAATACAGAAAAAAGAGGTGTGTGATACGCCACTGCCATCAATCTTAGAACACTTCTTCGTGTCTTCGTTACGATTAGCTCCTATTTCCCTCCCCTCCCCTCCCCTCCCTTCCC